CACGGGCGTGCGCGCGAGGCCGACCAAGAACAGACCTAGAATCGACCAAGATGGGACCCAACCTAGAACCGACCTGAACTGACAGGAAGACACAGAACTGCCCTAAGAACCGACCTAACCTGGAACCGACCCGAACTGAACCGACCAAGAACCGACCACCCTAAAACTGAAACCGACCTAGAACAGACCACAGCGAAACCAAAACTGACTAAGATACGAACAGACCACACACTAATGTATGCAATTCTTGTTTTCTTATATTAAGTTTTTGTTCTTGTAAAAATGTAGAAAAAAATAAAACTTTAATTTTACCTGAGCAGATTCCGTTGCCTCGTCGACGGGGGTTCGGGAAATGGCCGTCTTAGTTGAGGAAGAAGAGCTATTTTGTGATGCCATTTCAGTCGTGGAAGTCGCCGGTTTTTGGTTGGTTTTTAGTGAGGGAGATGGTCAGTTTTTGGGTGGTCGGTCCTCGGCGAGAGATGGTCGGTTTAGTCGGGGAGAGTGAGGAGTGTGGTCGGTCATCGGCGAGGAAAGGTTGGTTTTGTCAGGGAAAGTGAGGAGTGTGGTCGGTTCTCGGCAAGAAAGGGTCGGTTTCGTCAGGGAGAGTGAGGAGTGTGGTCGGTCCTCGGCGAGGAAGGGTCAGTTTTGTCGGGGAGAGTGAGAAGTGTGGTCGGTTCTCGGCGAAAGAGGGTCGGTTTTGTCGGGGAGAGATGGTTGGTTTTGTCGAGCGATGAGAGAAACTCGGCGAGAGAGAAACCGGTGAGAGGTTGTGAGGGAATCGGTCGTGTGGTCGGTTTGTGAGAGAGAAATGGTCGGTTTTTGAGCGTTGGTGAGGAGAATTTTTTGAAATGACCCATACACATAAACTAGATATGACCTATTTTTTGACACGTAAAGTACACGTCATAATTTTTTTGTTATAAAAAAAAAGTGGTTTAGATCTCCCATTTCTGTTTTATTGTAGTCTCTTTTTATCAAATTTTCTTGTAATTTTTGTAATTAATTCAAAATATCACGCAGGAATAGTTCTGAGAAATTCTTGTAATTAATTCAAAGATAAATATCCCAGTGAAGAAAGGTAAATAAAAAGAAAAAAGCAAAAGAAAAGAGCATGAGATATGCTGTCAGAGTGAGGTAGCAAAAGGTTGCGGAGGAGGAGTTGAATGAAGCAAACGATAGCGATTGCAGAAGAATTCGGCAGATCAAACCAAAACATCACACAAAACCAACAAACTCCATATTCTCTCTTTTCTCAATCTTCTCTCTCCGGTGGCTCCGTAAGTTTCTCTCTCTACGTCTCTCTCTCTCTCTTCAGCCACTGCCCTAGCGTTTGAGCTTCGCGTTCGTATCGTGAACCGTGAAATTCAAACAAACGAGTTCTTCTTCTTGCTCTTGTTGTGTTTCAATTCATTCGGCCATAGCTGAATCGTCTTTCGCGTTCGAATTCGGTGTTCTTTGAGTTTTTGTTTCGATTCAGGTGATTTCTGAGGATTTCTTCTCTTTTTATTGGTTTGTTTTCCTTCTTTTGTTCGATTTCAGCTCCGTTAGATTAACGGACTAGATGTGCCGGCAAGAATCGCGCGCGCGTATGTCGGCGGAGGAGGAAATTGCGGCGGAAGAGAGCCTTTCCGTTTACTGCAAGCCCGTCGAGTTCTACAACATTCTTCAGCGCCGTGCCATAAGAAATGTGAGTTCTGGTTCGCCCTAAATGCCCTAATTTTCGTCTTTGATGCTTTCTACGTTTTGGTAAAAATGGGATGCTTGTTTCCTTAATCAAATGTTTTTTTTTTCCCTTTTGATTCGTTGCGTTTTGTGGTCTTTTGTAGCCGTCATTTCTTCAAAGATGTTTGAGTTACAAAATAGAGGCAAAGCACAAAAGGAGGTAATATAATCATTTTTCGGTATAATTTGTTTGAAATAATTCTGTTTACTCATATTGATGCCTGTGCAATAGAGAATTTTTGCTTATGAATTTGTTGTTGGTAAAGAGTTGGTGTATAGTATTGTTTGGATGGTTTACAATAAGTTTTTCTTTTCCCTTTTAATTTAATTTTTTTTTCATTGTTTAGTGTATATGGCCTTTGTTCTGTGACTGTTTAAGGAATTCCTTATTTCTCTAGTTTCCTAATATGGTTTTGAGCAGCATTTGGTTAGTTGTTCATGCTGGAACCAGTTATGGATGCCGATAGGAAGTTGATGGTTTTGAACCCACTTCTTGCTCCCAATACACTCACACTCAATTTGCTATACATAGAATGATCTTTATGGCATGGTTCATATTGGTTCTATGAATTGTTTATTAAAAGAAAATGTTTTCTGCAAATCTATTTCTTAATCTTCCAATATTTATGTACCTTAGCAATTTCGTAATGCTAAGATCGAATTTGTCTGATGTTTTGTGTTTCATCTTTCATTGCAAAGAGCAATTTAGGGTTAAAGTCTTTAGAATAGTTGGACTTCGTTGTTATTTTTGTTTTGGATTAAGCTTAAAGACTGACTTGAGGGACTAATTGGATTCTTTAATTAAATTGCAGAATACAAATGACAGTTTCCCTTTCAAGGGCCAAGAACAACGGTGCACAAACTCAGAATTTGTTTCCTTTGTATGTTTTTTTGGCAAGATTAGTTTCTGATATTGCTGCTGCTGAGGTAAGAATCTATTCAAGTTAAACAGTCAATGTATATCGTTTTGCATCTTATTCCACTTTCTCTAGTGTTAACCAGAGGTAGTTCTCTACTGTAGATTGTTATCTGTTGTCTAATTGTAGTATTCTTTTTGTACAAAAAAAGTACTCTGCTGTATATCGATTCAACCGAGCATGCATGTTAACCAATTCCACTGGTGTTGAGGGGAGAAATCAAGTCCAAGCAAATTTTATTCTGCCTGATATTAATAAGCTGGCATCAGAGGTTAAATCTGGCGCAGTTTCCATCTTGCTTGTCAGCTTTGGTATGCATACGTGATGTCATACTACTGATATGAATTAATTGCCATAAGGATCTTTTATTTGAATTTGTCTCTTCATTATTTTCTTGCAGTGGGAGTCCAAAATTCTGTTGGTGGAACGAATCTATCAAAGGGTGCTTTTGATATGGCTTCTTTTCCTTGTAAGTTTTGCTTAACTCGCTTCTTTTTTGTGTAATCTATCAGAAGCCTACTATTCCGTATCCTTCTGACCCCAATTATGTATAGAGAATTCTCTGAATTTTATTTTGTTTCATTTATTTTTTTACTATCAATCTCCAATTATTTATTTTGTTTTTTATTTTGTCAAAAAATGCTTTGGACCAGGGAGTTTATTTGATTCAGGAAAACTCAGAAAAATTGGAAAACAAACTAGAGCAATAACACAAAGGTCTTTTATGAAAATTTTGCCGTTTCATTTGCTAAAAATCTTAGCTTATGGGCTAGGCAGCTTTTAGAAACACACAATGATTGGAGAATACGCATGGGCAGATAAAGAATTAAAATAAATTATTGGATAAAAAATCCTGATTTTGTTGATCTTCAGTTATCCTGATATTGAATTCCAAGTCTTTCTCCACTGACCGTAAAAGATTTTTTTTTTTTTAAATTTTTTTTAGCGGATGTCTCAAGTCTGAAGACATACAGGAGTTTTTTTCTTTTCTTTTTTCTTTTTAAATTTTTTCTTTCTTTTTTCATTTTTCTTTTTCCAAACTAATCTCCTTTTTGCTAACAGCAAAAGTTGGGGGATACTGTCTATGGAGCAAGATACCGTTGGAATCACTTTATATCTCGTGGGAAAATTCGCCAAACTTTAGTTTGGGACAGCGAGCTGAGATGATGTCAACTGTAGATATGCAATCTTGCTTCTTGAAGGTATACGTTATCATATGGTTACTGGTTAACAAAAAATGTGGAACTTATAACTGGCAATTAATTTCTTATTTTAATGGTAGCCAAGGGAAAAAAAATTATGGTAAAGATTCACTTTCCATTTGCATGTTCTCTTATGGATGATGGGGCCAGATTTAAGTTATTAACTTCTTTCTCTCCTGCAGTTGAGCTGTTCGAATGAGGAAAAATGCATCTCAATTGAAGTTCCATATAATCTAGAAACTGTGGTTTGTTTCGCCACCATCTTTTTTAATTTGACGAAACCATATCATGATCAAACTGTGGTTTGTTTCGCCGACATCTTTTTTAATTTGACGAAACCATGTCTTGATCAACCCTGTATACGTTCTCTTCAACATTTCTACTTTGAGAACCATATTGATGACAACCTCTTACTTTTTGATTGTTTTGGGTCTTGAAGAGTAACTCCCAGCAAGTTCAAGTTACTGTTTCTGCAGAAGAGTTTGGTGCTAGAGAAAAATCTCCTTACAATTCATATATATGTGGTGACGTTCCGTCTTCATCATTGTCTCAAATTATTCGGTAATTTTCATTCATCTCATGGGTAATTGTTTTATTTGCTTTTACATCAGGTCATTGATTTTATGGATATTACAGTGATTTCATTGCTTAAGAAAAATCATTGTTGCTGGGTTGATATACTGCTGGGTTGATATACTATTAGTACTCGATGCTCTTCGGTAACTTGTTAGGTCTTCCTTTGCTTTCAAATCACATGTAGTGGGACAATTGATTACTTTTTAATTGTTGTTCTTGTTGTTATTGGTGATATATAATCTTGAGCTTACGAAGTGTATTTCTTTTAAAATACTTTAACTAGCTACATATCTGAGATCAAGATTGAAGCAATAGCCACATGCACGACTAAGCATACAAGACTTTTGTTTTTAATAAGACATTTTATGACACAGAAAAAAGATAGTAAAAACTATTTAGATTCCAAAAAACATTATCGTGATATTTATCTTTAAATTTGAAAAGCTTTTTGCTTCCCTGGTCAAATGATCAAAAAGACAGCTATAACCATATCAATTGCACTAGGAAAGGGCCGTACCACTTAAATCAAACTCAGAAGAGAGCTCTCAACCAAACTAGTCTTAAAGGACCGAGGTATACTCCATAGAAAACCATCTCTTTGATAGGAGACTTGTACGCTTTGATGTTAAACAATTTTGTTCTGTTACAGTTCCAAAATTAATCAATAAGGCAACAGAACCCAAATTGTTCAATATCGAATGCTTGGGTAATTGATGTTTTTTGCCTTGAAGTCTTCCTCTAAGGTTCTTATTTCTATATAAAATTTCAGGTTATCTACTTTTGTGTTTAGTTTTGTAGTGGTAAGACACTTTTATCTTTGAAGAGTTATGCTGAGATCTGTAAGTTTCATTAGCAATGAAATAAACCAAGGCTTAAAAGGAGGACTCAAAGAAGAATATGAGGGTTAGGAAAGTGGAGAGAGAAAGGAAAGTAGAAGGCAAAGCTAGCTTTTCCTGCACCCCTTTTCTCCATGTTTTGATTTAAGAAATAAAATGTTGGATGACCTCATGCGAGTTGTGACTCGGACTAATCATGCATGCAAAATGTCATTTATGTCTTGTAGTGTGTATCTGCATTTGAATTTGACAGCGGTTTTAGGATATTAGATGTGAATGCCATTTAACAGTATTCTTTGGTATTGTTATCGTTGTTGTTGTCCCCTGCTTTTTGTTTTTCTTTTGATAATTGGCATTCAGGATATTTTATTGATTCACCATAGAGAAATGACATTCTTGTTGTTTGATTGATTCATTATTGTGGTGAATCATTTAATACATAGATAAAACTTTGTCACTTATCTCATTCAGGTTGAGGGCAGGAAATGTCATTTTTAATTACAGATACTACAGCAATAAGTTGCAAAGAACAGAAGGTATTACACTTTTTTCTTTTGCATACTTTTTCTTGTTCCTCTCTTGCTCTCTCTGTAGCTCTCTGTTGATTGAATCATTTCTTTGTTCTCACTGTTCTTGTATATCTAAGTCTTTAAAGAAGTTGGTTTGATGAGTATACACACACACACACCCCAAAGTATACCGCTGTGTGTTTTTTGTAATTTTGTCAAGGAAAGTTAAAGAGACATTTCAGGTTCTCTAATTTTTGTTTTCTTTCTTTAAATTTTGGTTAGCAATCGACTGTCATCTAGATTCGGCTAGAGTATTGTTGAGAACATAGCAAGAGTAAAGCTTCCCTGAATTTGACTTATTGTCAGATCTGGGAAGGAATGGCGAATGTGCGCGTCGAAGCTCTTGATGGTCATGGACTTCTTCCAAGTCCAAGTTGTATTCGTCAACAAAAGGACTGAAGGGATACAAAGTCATTTTCACTTTACATGGTGGCATTATGTAACACTTGATGGCTTTTTAGGTTAACATAATGACATGGACATGGGTATTAGTCTAGACAATATGTAAACAAGAAAGAAACCGTATGTGGGAATTTTTATATAGACATTTGGTTGGAAAATATGTTGCATGATAAAATTCTCCTATAGGCTTCTAGTATCTTCTGCTTGGCTGGTTTTGAACCTAAAGATATAACATAGATTCATTGCGAAGGTTGGAGGAATATTGCCTATTTACTTTATAAATAAAAATATGGGAAATATTTCCGGGAGGAACAAAATAAAGAAGGCTGGTCATTCGAGCAATGTGGAGAAGATTTTTCATTTTTCTTGGGGAGGAAGGGAGAGGGTTGAGGCGCTGTGTGTTGAGAAGTGTTGTTGTTGTTGTTGTTGGTTTTTTGTTTGTTTGTTTCTGAGAGTGTGTCTAGAAGTAGAATCGCTACTTTTTTTTTCCTTTTTTTTTCTTTTTTTTTTTTTTGAGTCAGAGTGAGGGAGGGAGAGAAGAGGGGGGGATGGGGGTTGCCGGGTTAAGAAGAATTTCCTTTTTTTTTTTTTTGAGTCAGTGTGAGGGAGGGAGAGAAGAGGTGGGGATGGTGGTTGCCGTGTTAAGAAGAATTTCCTTTTATTTTTATTACTACTCTTAGTATCTTTTATATATTTTTTTGAGAAGCTTGTATTGTTGGTTCGGGACGGGCTCTGTTCAGGAGTTCATAGACCTAAGAGAAAAAGGAGGACTGAAAAGGAATTTTCAATTTCTTCCGAGAAGTTTGTGTTGTGTTTTTGAAAGGATCCGTGTGTTCAGGATTTGTAGTGAAACCTGAAAAGTAACAAAAATTTTGTGATTTAGACACTGAATTTAAATGCTCTGTTTCACGGGCAGCTTTAAATATATGACCTACACATGTTACTTTAGTTTTTCTCAAATAAGTAAACCAATAAATAGAAATTATGAGTCTGAAAAAGGAAAATATATTAATAAAAAAAATAAGTATAAAACCTGTCTTCTGGTCAATTTTGTTGGGTTTTGTTAATTATGATATCATATATATATATTTTTTGTCCTTCTTACCATAAAGTTGGGCGTATTATAATCTCAAAAAGAAAAGTAGTATTTAATTTTTGACTTAAAGTTCTTTGCTGGCTAGTACAATGGTGCTCTATTCTATATATGTGCTGATAATTAGTGGTGTTTTATTTAGCCCTCAGAGATATATACTAGACATTTTCTATTTTTCCCGATCTCTGTCTTTCTATTCTTTCTATTTTTTATTTATTCTATCTTCCTCTCTAATCTATCGTGATCTTGTTTGCGGCATAATTTTGGTAAATTATCTTGCAGTAACTGAAGACTTCTCCTGCCCATTCTGCTTGGTTAAATGTGCAAGCTTTAAGGTCGAACTTTTCCTTTTTAATTTTTAAGGTTTTTCATTCTTTTAAATTAATTATGAAATGAAGTCCCAATTTTCATTTTGTTTATAGGGCCTGAGATTTCACTTGACCTCATCGCATGATCTCTTCAACTTTGAGTTTTGGGTTGGTAATCTTCGAGAATCTTGGTGGCAATCCCACATTTAGATATGGTGAAGTGTGAATGTGTCTGGGTGACTACTGAGCTAATGAATACTTTGTAGGTGACAGAAGAGTATCAAGCTGTGAACGTGTCTGTCAAAATTGACAATGGGAGATCGGAGGTCTGATAGTATAACCTTAAGAATACTTCTGCTTGTTCTTCATATCACTTTACTGCTATTAACTTATGAATGCTCTGTTGTAGTTAGGTTCCATGTGGATTGTTGGGTGTATGGATGTCCATATAACACTTACGTGTCGTCGTGTGTGCATTGCACTTACATTGAGGTTTTAGTTACAGGATTGTTTTGCCTTTTCTGTAATGAGATGACTGATAAATCCATATGTTGTTTATTTGCAATCAAGATGCCCAGGCAGCACTTAGCTAAAGGTCTCTGATAGGATCTGTTTGTTGGTTTAAGGGAATTAGTAGTTTGTTAGTAGTTGTTACTTGTTAGAAGAGAGTTAGCAGTATAAAAGGGAGGGATTGGGAGTTATGCGGGTTATGGTCTGATTTATGAGAATTTGGGGAAACCGTTAGGAGAGTTGCAGTCTCTCGAATGTTGCTATCTTTGATTCTTTGTATGCGTTTCTTGATTCAGTCAATAGAATCAATTCTTTCTTCTATTTTGTGAGAATAGACTGTAGAAATAGCTAGGTTCCTAACAGGCTCTGTTCATTGCAATGTTGAACAATGGGTTTCATAGTCTGCCGGTTTTCTCCAACCGTGAAATAGTCTTTTGCTTCCTGTTTCATTTACTGGAATTAGTCTGGTAAAAGCAACTGAGATATTGATAAAAATACAATAAGATTCTAACTAGAAACAAAGAAACTGAACTGAAATGACTGAATCTTTATTGAAGAAGATTTGATGAATCTCAGTACAATCAACAAACACTAACATGGAGGTATTTGACAAACCATCGAATCTCGCGAAGGTTTCCCCAATTTCCCACCAATCTGACCATGCCCCTCATTAGTTCCCAAACCTTTTATTACTAATTCTTACTAACAACCTTCTAACTGCTTATGAGACTACTTATCAATAACAACAGCTAACCAAACACCCAACCAACTATAAAGTTCATCTCAAAATGGTGATACTACTATTTTTGTCATCTTCTTCTATCTAATCATATGCTTGGGCCAAGAATAGATCAAGGTTGATAATAGGGAATCAAGAGGAGAAATAGAACCAGAGGATGGACGAATAGAGAAAAAGAAGAAGAACTAGAAAGAAGGAAACAAGAAAGTATTCATTATTCATCAAAAGTCGGAATTGGAATTAAATCACTAATGTATTTACAGAGATCTAAATTAACAAAAAGATAAAACTTAATTAGTTTTTAATATTTCTGAGAGATAATGATGATTCCAAAAAAATCTAAAAGATAAATCTAAGTTTACATCTAAAATATTAAAATTATCTAATCCTATGCCGCACCATTTTAGAAGAAAAAAAATATTCTCCTCGGGTTGAAGAAACTCGACTCCGACAGTTGACAAGTTTAAACGCCGACAATCATATAGCAATAATTTGAACCTCAAGAAACTCTTTCATAGAACATTTTATTCTGAAAGTAGGCATATGAATGTAGTATTTGATTGTAGAAACATCCTTACATAAGATACATCTTCAGTGATAGATTTGGAGGAATATGATTTAAAACATAAAGAACACTCGAGCCTTCTGATCACTAGGGTTGGGAAACAATTCTACCTCATTGAAAATCAATTCCATTGTTAGTTTTGAAGGAAATTCAATGCATCAGAACCTTTCGACAACATATGTGGAGGAATACGGTTCAATTGGGAGGAGCTGGTTCATCAATAATAGCCTTGGGACAAGAAGGGTTACTGGTCACATCCTTGTGTCTTACTTTCATCTTTTTCAAGAGGTGCATTTGGTTCACTAGGAGCTTGTGAAGGAAAGACTAGGTTTAGACATAATTTTTCTTTTGGTTTGGTAGGTTTGAAGATCGAGGTTCATTCATTATGTCTAAAAATATATCGATTTCCTTTAGCATATGTCACATCATGAGCATTGGCCCAAGGAAGTTCTAGCGAAATATGAATGATGATTCATTAGGGGAAACCAAATGGCTTTTTGGAGAGGGATTCTCTTGACAATACATGAATATACTTTTTTATTATTTTAAAATAAACAAATTTCAATCGATATTGATACACATGCAAATACTCCGTGTTTTTCCTTTTCGTACAGATTGAACGCTAATGGATTGACAATTTTAAGTATATGACATATCGATGAACAATATAATTACATCTCTAATAATTATTTTTTGTATCTATGCACTATTCAGCATTCATTGCTCTGCAAATTTAAGCCTTTAATTTTCATCTTTAGATTGTTGCAGATGGTGTTGATCCTAAGCTACAAGTATTCTTCTTTTAGTAAGTCATGTTTTTGTTTCTGTTTTAAGCCAAAGTTTGTACTGCATTTCTTTTGTGTGTGTGTGTGTTTTTTTTTTTTTTAATTTTTTTTATTTGAGTTAACATTTATGAATGCTTTATATGTCTATTTCAAGCTCAAAGCCACTTAAACGCAAGAGACTGAAGAACCTACTTCATGGTGCAAAGCATGTGCATCCATATATCTTGGAGTCTAATTTGCGCGCGGGAGTCTATGAGCTATTGGACAAGGCAGATGGTAAAACTTTCTTTTGTTGTCTCTGTAAATTTGGGGCTTATGATAAGATTTTGAACATGAAGGTTATGTTTAGTTTGTAGGATTGAACTTCCAAGAGGAGGTTAACATTGTGCCGTCTTTTGCTAGGTTTTCCTCTCAAGTATTAAAAATGCAGAATTTGGTGATGAAGATCAAATCAATTAGCTTTGAATTAAGATTTTATAAGAATTTATGTTATCTTGAAATTAGGTTTAGTTTCCCGTTTATCAAGTTTCCTTATTTTGTTTTGGTTTAGTTCCCTATTTCGTTATTTAGTTTGCCTATAAATTTCTCTCTCAATTTCTTCATAAGTTCTTTAATCTCTCTCTAATTCCCCTTCTCCCACTTTCTCTCAATCCTCGCCTTTTCTACAAGTTCTGCATCCCACAGATGATTAATAGGACAAGTTATAAAATCTTCTTCACTCATAGAAAGGAAAAGAGTGAAAAGAGAATTGTTGAAGAACTTGCGATGAAAATATTACTTGTTTTTATCTGCTGAAATGTAGCATGAGTTGATAGCCTACCAATTTTATCATGCTTTCCGACCATAACTAGGTCACAAGGCATTGCAGTATACTTCTACTCGTGCTGATCCTGTTGAGAACTTTTTGTTCTTTTCTTCCCCCTCGTAGCTGTTTTATGATATGTACATAGTACATACATATTTATATGCACACCCATACACATACGTATCCGAATGTGCATGTGTCTGTGGGCCCGTTTGTTTCATATACTCAAGCTCAAATCACTGATTCTGCTAGTGTTTTCCTCTCACAAAAAATTTAAATTTCAAACGTCAGAATCAAGACTCATGGTTTGAGTATACCTTTCAAACGGGCCCTGTGCTTGTTTATCTATCCTCTATCCGTCTATTCGTCCATCTACTATACATATATATATATATATGTATTATTTTACAGTCATATGCTCTTATTATAAAATTGTTAAAAAATATTCTTGTTATCTCAGATGCTCATTCCAGTAAAGGTGAAAGGGCTCGTATCTCAGGTTAGAATTATTTTCATATTGTTGGTATTGCTGCTCACGAGCGTGTACGAAGTGTTACTTCCTGCTATTATGGTGCAGTAGTTTCAAGTGCCTTACTGCTATCAAATGCTGATCCTGGTTGTGTTCAATCAACGTGTGGAAATAATCTTGCACCTCCTGCAATGTTGCAATTCGCAAAGACAAGAAAGCTATCTGTGGAACGTTCAGACCCTAGGAAGTGTGTATTCTCTCTCTTCCTATGTAGTTTTCGTTGACTTAATGTTGTGTTTCCATTTTGAACTTGTACAAATTATTTCCCATTGAGATAAATAAATAATGTAGTGGTAGTGGCCACTCCAAACTCTCCTCGAGTCAAGGCTCTATTTTTTAGTTAGAGCCAATCGTAAGTATATAAGACCATCTCCAATGCAAATGTTAATGCCAATTGTATATATAGCATCAAAAAGTGTGATATGGTATGTTATTTTCATTTTTGCTCCAATGCATAATGTTATTTGAAATGCTAACTCTTTCCCATAATATTGAACTTTAAAAGTTGCAAAAGTGAACTTTTATTTTTAAAATAATTAGAAAATGCAAAAGTTGCAATGATTACATGAAAAAGTAAACGTTTCAACCAATAGCAATCAAATGCCAAATTTCCCATATGCTATACTTGGTGGGAAATTTGTCACAAAGTATAACATATGGGAAATTTAGCACAACAAATAGCATTGCATTGGAGAGTGTTTTTTGCACCCAAATGCTAAATTTGCAATTGACACATCAATTATAGCATTGCATTGGGGATGCTCTAACGTTATTAACTATGATCTAAAATATGGTCGTTCCCACTCAAAAGTCTAGAGATTAGGCTCTTCCTAGTTCGTCAGAGCCACTGAGCCAGTCTTGAGGATAATAACATTGGTATAATCTGAAATTTCTTGTTTGTGCATGTCGCTTTTCTCCTTAGATTTATTTGTACATCAGTGGGGGATTTTTTTTACATCAGTGGGGGGTTTTTTTTTTTTTTTTTTTTTTTTTTTTCAAACTGAAAAAAATGTGGCATGGGGTGTGTGTGTGTGTATTTAAGTGTGTTTCCCCTTTTCTTTTTATACATATGAATGCTAAAAAATGTTGCATGTAATCATAGAAGTTCTTACAATGGAAAGTTGAGGAATTCATTCTAGAAAAGTGAGATAGAGCTCGCAAGTTCTTAGCTGAAGTATTAAGTTCACTTTTTCATGATGCATCTAAAATTAAGAAATGCTTTTACAAAAATTTGAGGTAATTGAGGAGTTAACAACAAAGATGGTCGCTACTAAAGTTGCAACCTTACCAAGATTCTAAATGGAACTTGATAGTCTTTGATATTATTGATCATCATTATTCTGATCTTCAATGAAAATACAATATTTTTTTTCTTCAAGTTTTTAAAGATGTTTTTTTATTTTTTTTATTTTTTATAATTGTTATATATATATATATATGTATGAATTGTCTCATTGATCGTTCTATTTTAAAATTTGTTTATATTTGTGGATCAAAATAGTCTATGTTTCCTTCTTCGAAATTCTAGCTCTCTGACCTTTATCCGTACATTATAAATGTTCTTGCTAAACTATGTTCAATACATAGGATCCTTTTTATGGGCAACACCAACCTAAATATGTTGATTATGTCCAAATTTGACACTGCGAAACTTCTCAAGTTGCTCAGGAGTTGGTCATTTTGTTTATCCTTGGGTATCCAATCTAGATGAGTTTTTGATAATGTATAAGGCTAACTTTGATTTACAAAGGAAATGTAGTTCAAAAGAAAATTTTTGTTGGCTTCATCGATAACTACTTGTATATATCGGCTGTTGGTAACAGGTTTTCTCTTGTTTTAATAGGGGAACATCTTGTTTGTTCAATATGCAATACACACAATAATCAGCCGATTTTTCATGTATCCATTTTTCTTTGCTCCATTTTTCCCTCGTTTTAATTTACTTCTGAGTGTGAAAATGTGGATTAGCATTTGATCTAGTGTACTAATTATTTTTTTCAGTTGTACCTTACTGCGGAAGCGGCAGTTCTTTCATTCTCACAGAGCCCAGGTGACAAGCGATTTATACTGTAATGCTTATTGCTTAGAAATTCTGTGTGTTTTGTCTGTAATTCTCTAGAACTGTTAAATTACTCATTTTTATATGCATTTTTGGGGAGAAAAAGTAAAAGATAATGCACTTGGTGTAGCAGTTAATTACTCTCTCTTTAGCAAAGAAAGGGAAGGGAATAAGCTTGTCCAATCTCTGGAATAATAATACCTAAATTTGAACTGAACGTGGGGCTTGAGGCACAGTTCTATTTTCCCCTTTCCACTGGGTTGGATTCTACACCGCCTAATATTCTTCAGCTTTTTATTATTGTTTGTCACATTTCACGCACACTTGAAGGAGAACCCTGCCTCATGCTAATCTTTCATCCCAATAGAAATGATAAACCATATTGGCAGCATGTTAATATTCTCTGATTAGGAAAATAAGATCTTGACTGAGTTAAATATGAATAGAGACAGCTTTCTAGTTGTAAGGGGCCATTGAGGAAGTGGATATTGCTTTAAATTTACCAAAACCTTTGTGAGTGTTGTGCTCTTGAACAATATTCATGCAAGTTAGAAATGTTGACTAATTATATTTGCCGGAATGATAAGTTCTATTCTGTTTTCCTATGAGATTTTTTTTCTCTCTATTTGAACAGTATTTATATTTTATTTCTTGCGTTTATAATTTTGAAACCATGTTCCCATACTCTTCATTGTGATAAATGTGAGGTAGTTATTGGTAACCGAAGATGGTATCGGCAGCTTTTCAGGGAAATTTTCTTATTATTGTCATCTTCCATCTTTGATTAAAGATTTTAGTCCACTTGTGATCAAAATGCATCTATTAGTCTGTCTTATTCTTTTCCCCCTCTTTTTTTTTCATTCTCTTGAAGCCCATGGCAATAGAACAAGTGTTGTCAGATAGGGATAGTGAGGATGAAGTTGATGATGATGTTGCAGACTTTGAAGATCGAAGGGTACGCTTGATAATTGCTCTCTCTCTCTCTCTGAGTTAATCATTGAGGCATTTTGCATAACAAACCCTTGACTGATTATCATATTCATCATGACTGCTGTTATCATCACTATATCTACTGGTGCAAAGCACCACCATGGCACTAATATCATTGCTACAGCCACCAGCACGACAGTATATGCATACATATATGTGTGTTTTTGTGCGTGCGTGTGTTTTCTGGGATAAGAAACGACTGCCAGTTTTAGCTAAGTTCCACCACCACTTTTACCATATAACTTTGCTTGATTTCCTATTTGATTTCATGCCAATTGTAACTATGAGTAGTCTAGTTGATTTTTTTTTTGTTTTTTGTTTTTTTTTTTTTTTGTTTTGTTTTGTTTTTGTTTTTGTTTTTGTTTTTTTTGTTTTGTTTTGTTTTTGTTTTTGTTTTTTTGTTTTTTTTTTTGGGATGCCTCCACTGTGGTTAGGTTTTCCTTTAATATGGTTACAATTTTAATAATTTGCTCTACTTTGTCTTTGCTTCTCGTTTGATGGTTGATTGCACTAGAAGAATAAGGGTTGGGTTAAGCAATATAGGTAAGTTTATGAAAGTAAATTGGCAAAGTTATAGAGCTTGGTCCTATGGCTTTTACTTTTATATATGGTTATCTTTTGGAATGTGTGTTCTACTAAGCAGCAAAAAAGGGAATTCATTAGTCTAAGTAGCATTTGTTCATTTCAATGTTGTAGATGCTTGATGATTTTGTTGACGTGACTAAAGATGAGAAACAAATGATGCACATGTGGAATTCTTTTGTGCGGAAGCAACGGTAATTTTTTTCCCCTAGTTCCAACTTTTCCTTTACTTTCTTTTGTCACTCCTTAGAAGTCATTTTGTTTGTTTCTTAAATTCTTTTGTTATTGTCTTGGTGATGACTGAAGAGAGAAAAGAGAAGAGTGAAGAGAGAGGAAACAGGAAAGAGAAGAAAAAATTAGAGACAGAGATGGGGAAAAAGAAATCAAGTGGGAAAAATAATTAAATTCGATGTTCATCAACTAACTCATTTGGGAAACATAATCCTAATTACTCAAAATTAAATATATCTTAATCATAAATCTCAATAATCCTCGTTAACAATAATAGCAATAATATTAGTATTAATATTTCCTAAATTATAGCTTTCTTATGCCGCATCATTCTCCCTTGATTGGAGAATTTGACTCCGGCAAGTTGAAACTCGGAAGAATCATTGAAGCAACAATCGGAAGACCAAGAAGATCTTCAATCAATTGATTTTGGTAAAAGCCATAGGAACTTGATTGTTGACTGTAGAAACACTTTGTTTGCTTAACAATCACAATTCACAGAAAACACTCGAAGCTTTTGAGCACTACAGTAAGCGAACAACTCCATGTTATTAAAACCAAACACAGTCACATTAGAAGGAAAATCAAGTAAACATGCATTAGATTGAAAGGAAGCAAGAGAAAGTTAAGGAATTTTAGTATGCAATTATATAAGTGAACTTTGCAAGATTTAGAGCAATTTGTTTCCATTGGTAAAGGATAACCTTAGCAAAAATTTCAAGAGAAGTTGAAGTGTGAGAACAAAGTGATAATGGCATAATTGATTTGAAAGGAGATGGATCATCAAAAATAGGCTCGGGCAAGGACTTGTGATGAACAACCTTGTCGTTCTGTCACAATCTTTCTTATTTTCAACCTTCTTGCTAGGTATCATTTTGGGATCTAGGTGCCGAGGCAAGCTCACTAGAACTTGTAGTTTGATCAAGATTCGTCACACTATCAGCTGGGTTCTGTAGATTGCCTACTTTTGATTACGGTTGTGGGGGTTATGTGGGTGTCGGTGTCGTTGTATGTTGATGGTGGTGCAGGGTGTGAGAAGCTCTGAGGCAAGGAGAAGTTTGTTTTCTGAAGGGGTCTTTATGGTTTATGAATGTTTTCGGACCAAAATGATTTTGGGAACAAGATATAGGCTAAAGGAATTGACTCTTTCTCTGGTTTATTTTTTAAAGAAATATGCCCCGCGTGAAATCTGTATTCTAAAAGAGAAGGGACATTGGTCACACTAGCTTCTATGATCAGTATAAGGTATTGATATCCAGCCAATATAGTTGACAAATCCGATTGAAATCAGTGTGAAGAAGATTCATGCGAGAGCTAATCAAGCACTGCTAAATAGTAGTCATGTCCACAAGGAAAGTAAAAGAGATTGTGTCCGTATGAACTAAGTAGAAATCAGGCTGGAATTAGAGGAATTTGTGAGACCCCGTTCCCGTCTGACCAATTGATGCAAAAATAGAGAGTGAAAAGAGAGGAGAAAAGAGAGGAAAGAGACGGAGAAATTAGGGGGAGAGAGAGATGACAAAGAAATCATCAATCACTTATGGAAAGCAATTGCATAGCTATTTATAGATGAGAAATGCTAGCATCACTCTTTTTGTCACTCTCTTTATCACTCTTTGTCACTCTTTGTCACTCGCTGCATTCACTGTTCGGCATGAAGACTCCACAATCTCATTTTCTATTTAAATAATAATATATCATGTTAGTGGAGTCTACATGCCAAACAATGAATACAAAGAGTGACAAAAAGAGTGATACTAACATTTCTCTTTATAGATAGACAATTAACACAAATAGGAAACTAAACAATCGGGAAACATAACCCTTATCACTCAAAATTAAATATATCCTAATAATAAGTTTGAATAATCCCAATTAATAGAAATAATTCCTAAACTATAGCTTTTCAACTCATAAATAGTTTACTATCACTCTTATCACAATGGGGAAACAAAATCATAATAACGCAAAATTAATAGTTAAATTCATGAGTGGTATGTGAATCCCTGTGTTGAAAGTTGTATCAAATCTAGTCCCTGAACTACATAAATAAAGTTGTACCAAATTTACCGGAACTAATAAGTATATCAAAATTAGTCCTATTAAATAAATAAACACTAAGTATTGATATCCATGGCTTTGTTTTACATTATATTTTTAAATAGTTCTCTATGGGATTGAGCTTTCCCCCGAGCCTGTCATAGTACGGGAGCCTCTTTGGCACTGGGGTCCGCCTTTTTTTTTTTTTCTTTTCTCAATTTCTTGTTTAAAATTGAGGAAACTTTCTTGTGTTTTGAAAAAATGTTCAAAATCTTTTCTTGGAGATAAACTTTTTGTTTGTAAAATCGAAACTAAGATTGAGGATGGGGTTGGGTTGCGGTCGGGATTGGGATCAAGATTGGGGTTGTGGCTGAGAGACGGGTTGCAATCAAGGTTGTGATTGGGGCGGGTCGGTGTTGACGCTAATCCTAGGCCTTATACGGACTCGACCACCCTAGTGTGTACCTTCAACCCAACCTCGCCCACTAATCTCGATCATATCCCAACCTCGGCTCTGACCTCAACCTCCGATCCCAGCCCGACCCTAACTCCAAGCCTTCTTCTAGCCTCTACCTCCATACAAGAATTTTTTGTTTCCTTCATAAAGCATAGGACAAACACAAGTTGGTAACATGTAAAAAAAATAAAAAATAAAAAAATCATTTTTTGTTTAAAAGAAACAAAAAATAAAAAATGATTTAGAACGGTGTTGAAGCTATATGTATTTAATGTATTCTTTCTATTTATCTAATGGAGGGACTAACTATAAACAATTATTTGATTCAGGGGCTAAATTTAGTACGACTTCTTATATTCAACGTTTTCCAATACGAGGGGAAAAAAAAGTTTCCCATCCATTTATTCAAAGGGACTAACTTTGACACATTTATTTAGTTCAAGTACTAAATTTGATACAATTTTCAACATAGAGACAATTTATAAAAAGAGGAGAAAGTTCAGGGACCTTTCATGAATTTATCTTCAAAATCAATTATATCCTAAGAATAAATCTAAATTATCCTAATTAATAATGATACTTCCTAAATTATAGCTTTCCGATTCCGCATCACTTGATTTATTTTGTTGTTCACATCGTATGACAATGTATACTTGGACGTGATCTTACATGCCATCAAAACCTGAAATTGTTTTTGGGAATGATTTATGCTTTGCATTCAAATGTCACATGTCTCAACTGTTAATGGACTGTTCAAGAAATACAAGTCATTTTGTAGTATATATAACAGTGATGTTTCCCCATACATTAAAAACAAAAAATAAAAAATGTCTGAGTTCTGGAAATGAGAGCCATGCTATCCTTGGAATTTGCAAATAAAATGGAAAATGACTCTTAAAGATGTACCAGTGCTACCGAGTTAAAAAAACTCAGAGAATCCCTAATTGCTGATCCCAGCCAACTTATATGTAGACAGCGGTGTTGATTCTTTTAATGTAATTTTTATATGCTTTGCTTATGAACAAGTTGCTCGAATCTTGTTCATTGACAACTTGAGCAGAGACTGGTGTTAGATTTTGGTGCCGTTTGACAGTTCTTTTTTCTACATTTGCTGTTATAAATCTTCGACTTCAACCATGCATCAGTTCATATTGACGCGTGATAAAATGGCCTTAAGTTCATTCTAAAATATTTGGATTTTGTGACGACAGGGTACTCGCTGATGGTCATATTCCTTGGGCATGTGAAGCGTTTTCAAAATTGCATGGACCTGACCTGGTCAAAAACCCATCTCTGATATGGTAATTTTATTCACTTGTGAATTTTCAACCGTCATTTATAGCTAAGATTCCCTTGGATTTAATTTTACCAAAATAGCGACTCAACGTTCTTTTGCATTTACTTAATTTTCCCCATTGAAATGGCCCGTACAAATGTTAGTCTGTTTCTTATCAATTTTTGAGTAAGATATCTTCTTAAATGCATATGCCTTTTTACTACACCTCTCAAAACTTCCTTTTGGGTACTTTGCCTTTATTGTTGCGAGTTTATCTTCTATAACAACATGCTTTTGAGTTGGCAGGTGTTGGAGATTATTCATGATCAAACTTTGGAATCACGGTCTCCTCGATGCACGTATGATGAACAATTGCAACATTATTCTTGAAAGATGCCAAAATCAGGTTTCTGATCCAAAAGATTAGGAGAGGATATATATATTTTTTTTGTTGAAAAAAAAAAAAAAAAAACCCTACCAGGGTTTGAACCCTGAAAAGTTGCAAAGGTAAAGGGTGAGATGATTTGTTTATTCGACGAAAGAAAAAAAAAACTATTGGGGAGGAAAAAAAAGAAACCATTGCTAATTCACTGAAATCACTACACTTTGTACCATATGTTACTGTAAAATGTGCTTTATTAATCATGGTGCTTAATGCGCTCTCATTTACGTTCTCATGGAAAACAAAGAGGCAAGATCTGTCTGTTTACAAGTGGATTCAATTGTCTCTATTTAGCACTCCTCCCCACCTCTTCCCACTCCCAAGAGAAAAATGAATAGAAGAAATAAACAAATTTGGAGTCATGCTTTTAAGTTTTAAGGTGTTCAGAATCTTACTTTGTAGGCGGCAATGAGCAGATTTCATTGTTTATATTTCCAGTTTCACTTGCATTCAGTTGTTGTAAAATTACATTGCATATTAAAGGAAAATTGCATGGGCTTTGCTTGTTTACGATCTGCGTCTATAAATAGTTGAATTTAAAATCAAGGAAAAGAAGACAAATATCATTTTAGATTGCATAGGTCTTGATTTTTTATACTTAATATCTTTTCAATCAAATATTATATCATTCAAAAGAGTATTAATGAATAATAAGAAGAATAAGAGGGAAAAAAAATAGTTGTACACGAAGAGACGGTGGTATTATCAAAAAAATAAAAAGTAAAAAGAAGCAGGGACAAGGGACAGAAATGATATGGGGCAGCTGAGGTGTTCTTTAGTGATCCACCTGATGTTGCGTCTAGTTTTGTTAGGGGATACCGAGGTTAGGGACGCAATGGTGGTAAGATTACTCGATAAGATCGCCTTTGTTCTTAAAAGGCTTATGCTCCTCTAAATAATAGATAGGATAGGAAAAATAGAAAGAAAAAAAAAATCAAGCATGTATTCATCTTCCATTCAACTTAAATGCATTGCTTATTACACATGAATGTTCTTGTCGAAATGAATTCAGTAAGGCATCGCTGAAGATATATAAAGCCTCGACCTCGCAATAGGGCGTCAAAGCTACCTCAGCAATCCGCGTCAGAGTATAAGTGACAGAGCCGTACAAAAGTTGCTTTATCTTAGAAACCGCTTCATTTAAATCCGACGGGAGAGATAAAAAGAGAATATCGGTAGTTCAAAAAAAAAAAATAATGATGAGGCATACCAAAAAAAATAAAAACTTTAGCAAATGTAAAATGTTCACCAAATCACATTTAGATTAAAAAAATTATGATTTTCTATATTTTTTGTCTTTGAATTCTAAAATTAATACATGATTTTTAAGAATTAATGTAAAAAGCGGCACCATTTGTCTATGTATATTCTTTTTTTTTTATGATTTTCTCTATTTTTTGCATTTAAAAAATAAAATAAAATAAAATAAAAATGACGTCAAAATATTTTGAAATTTCGTAGACACCATCCTTACAATTTTCTGAGCATGTCTGCAAAAACATGGCCTTAAAAATGAAAAAAGAAACGGAAATAATAGAAAATAGGCCAATATGAAAAGCTTAAGGAAGTATATAGGCCAACTTTTAGTTATAGAAATTAATAGGCCATAACTTGTCAAGTTATGGTTCATAACTAGATAAGTTATGGACAAACTTGTCAAGTTATGGTTCATAGCCAGACAAGTTATGGACAAAAATCGTGATTTATAGACAATAACTTGTCAAGTTATGATTCATAACCAGACAAGTTATGGACAAAAATAGTAATTTGACCTATTTATTAACTTATGTAAACTATTGGCCTATTAATTTTAATTCATCTCAAGTCTTGGCCTATTTCTCTCTTTCTCCCAAAAAGAAAAATGTTGTCAAAAAGCCTCGGTCCATGCAATAGGGTGTCCAGTAGCCGGGATGGGTAAAAAATTGACATTTTTATTTATGTTATGCATTCTAAAATTAATACATAATTTTTAGGAATTAATGCAACAAGCAAAAAATGTTTTGATGAATATTCTATTTTTTATGATTTTCTTTTTTTTGGGCTTTGAAAAAAAAAATGACACCAAAAATTTTGAAATTTTGCACACACGATACTTACATTTTTCTGAGCATGCTTGCAAAAAATGGCCTCAAAAAATGAAAAAAGAAAAACGCTGTCAAAAAGCCTTCAGCCCGCGTAATGGGGCGCCTAGGGGCCAGGGTAGGTCAAAAATTCACATTTTAATTTATGTTTTGCATTCTAAAATTAATACATGATTTTTAGGAATTAATGCAAAAACAACATTTTTTTATGTATATTCTATTTTTTATGATTGTCTATATTTTTCACTTTTAAAAAATAAAATAAAATAAAAGGACATCAAAATATTTTGAAATTTTGTAGACACCAACCTTAAATTCTTATGAGCGTGCCTGCAAAAAATGGCCTAAAAAAAAGCAAAAAAAAAAAAAAAAACACTGGCAAAAAAGCCCCTCGCCCGAGCAGTAGAGCACCAAGGGCCGGGATGGGCCAAAAATTCACATTTTTATTTATGTCATTCTAAAATTAATACACAATTTTTAGGAATTAATGCAAGAAGCGGCACAATGTTTTGATGAATATTCTAATTTTTTTATGATTTTCTCTATTTTCGGCTTTGAAAAATAAAATAAAATAAAAACGACTTCAAAAAATTCTGAAGATTTGCACACACGATCCTTACGTTTTTCTAAGCATGCCTCCAAAAATGGCCTCAAAAATTTTAAAAAAATGTTATAAAAAAGCCCCCGACAGGCGCAATGGGGCGCCCAGAGGCCGGGAGGGGTCAAAAATTCACATTTTTATTTATGTTTTGCATTCTAAAATTAATAAATGATTTTTAGGAATTAGTGCAAAAAGCGGCAGCATTTTTTGATGTATATCCTATTTTTTATGATTTTCTCCATTTTTTGACTTTGAAAAATAAAATAAAATAAAAACGATTTCAAACAATTCTGAAGTTTTGTACACGATCCATTCATTTTTTGAGCATGCTTGCAAATAATGGCCCCAAAAAATGAAAAAAGAAAAACATTATCAAAAAGCCTCGGCTCGAGCAATGGGGTGCCTAGTGGACGAGATGGGTCAAAAAGTCACATTTTTATTTATGTTTTGCATTCTAAAATTAATACACAATTTTTAGGAATTAATGCAACAAGCAGCACAATGTTTTGATGAATATTCTATTTTTTATGATTTTCCATATTTTTCGGCTTAGAAAAATAAAATAAAATAAAAACAACTTCAATAATTCTGAAAATTTACACACACGATCCTTATATTTTTCTCAGCATGCCTACAAAAAATAGACACAAAAATGAAAAAAGAAAAACGCTATCAAAAAGCCCCCGGCCTGCGCAATGGGGCGCCCAGGCGCAAGGATGGGTAAAAAATTTACATTTTTATTTATATTTTACATTCTAAAATTAATACATGATTTTTATGAATCAATGCAAAAAGTGACACGATTGGAAAAATAAAATAAAATAAAAAAGACCTCAAAATATTTTGAAATTTTGTAGACACGATCCTTACATTTTTCTGAGCACGCATACAAAAAATGGCCTTAAAAAATGAAAAAGGAGAAACGCTATCAAAATGCCCCTCGCCCGCACAGTGAGGCGCCAAGGGGCCGGAATGGGTCAAAAATTAACCTTTTTATTTATGTTTTGCATTCTAAAATTAATACATGATTTTTAAAAATTAATGAAAAAAATGGTAGCATTTTTTATGTATACTTAATCTTGTATAATTTTCTCTATTTTTTGCCTTTGAAAAATAAAATAAAATAAAAACGACCACAAAATATTCTGAAATTTTGTAGACACGATCCTTATATTTTTCTTAGCATGCCTACAAAAAATGGCCTCAAAAAATTAAAAAAGAAAAATGCTGTCAAAAAGTCCCATGCCCGCGCAGTGAGGCGCCCAGGGGCCAGGATGGGTAAAAAATTTACATTTTTATTTATGTTTTGCATTGTAAAATTAATACATGATTTTGAGAAATTAATGCAAAAAATGCATAATTTTTTTATGTATATTCTATTTTTTATTATTTTCTCTTTTTCTCATTTGAAAAATAAAATAAAATAAAAACAACGTGAAAAAATTCTAAAATCTTGCAGACAAGATCACTTCATTTTTCTGCGCATGCCTGCAAAAATTGGCCTCAAAAAATGAAAAAAATGCTGTCAAAAAGTCCCCGGCACGCGCAGTGGGGCGCCTAGGGACCAGGATGTGTAAAAGTTCACATTTTTATTTAAGTTTTACATTCTAAAATTAATACATGATTTTTAAGAATTAATGCAAAAAGTGGCATTATTTTTCTGAGCATGATTTTTAGGATTTTCTCTATTTTTCTCCTTTCAAAAATCAAATAAATTAAAAAAGATGTCAAAAAATTCTGAAATTTTATAGACATGATCTCCAGATTTTTCTAAGCATGCTTGCAAAAAATAAAAAAAAAGAAAACGCTTCAAAAAGCTCCTGGCCCGTGCAGTGGGGCGCCTAGGTGCCGGAATAGGTCAAAAATTCATATTTTTATTTATGTTTTACATTCTAAAATTAATACATGATTTTTAGGAATTAATGAAAAAAGCGGCACCATATTTTGATGTATAATCTATTTTTGATGATTTTCTCTATTTTTCGCATTTGAAAAATAAAATAAATAAAAACGAGCTCAAAATACTATGAAATTTTGTAAACACAATCCTTACATTTTTCTGAGCATGCCTGCAAAAATTGTCTTCAAAAAATGAAAAAAGAAAAATGTTGTCAAAAACCTCCGTCCCCCACAGTGGGGCTCCTAGGGGCCGTGATGGGTTAAAAATTCAAATTTTTCTTCATGTTTTTCATTCTAAAATTAATACATAATTCTTAGGAATTAATGCAAAAGGCAGCAGCATTTTTTGATGTATACTCTATTTTATATGATTTTGTCTATATTTCGCCTTTGAAAAATAAAATCAAAGAAAAAGGACGTCAAAAAATTTTGAAATTTTACAGACACGATCCTTACATTTTTCTTAGCATGCGTGCAATTGCTGGCCTCAAAAAATGAAAAAAGAAAAACGCTATCAAAAAGCTCCCTCCCCGTGTTGTAAGGCGCCGTGGGGCTGGGATGGGTCAAAAATTCATATTTTTATTTATTTTTTTCCATTCTAAAATTAATACATGATTTTTAGGAATCAATGCAAAAAGCGACACCATTTTTTTTATGTATATTCTATTCTTAATGATTTTCTCTATTTTTCACCTTGGAGAAATAAAATAAAATAAAAAGACCTCAAAATATTATGAAATTTTGTAGACACGATTTTTACATTTTTCTGAGCATGCATGCAAAAAATGGCCTCAAAAAAAGAAAAACGGTTTCAAAAAGCCCCAGCCTGTGTAGCCCCATGGGCTAGGATGGATAAAAAATTCACGTTTTTATTTATGTTTTGCATTCTAAAATTAATACATGGTTTTTAGGAATTAATGCAAAAGACGGGACTATTTTTTGATGTATATTCTATTTTTTTTTATGATTTTCTCTATTTTTCACCTTTCAAAAATAAAATAAAATGAAATCGACGTCAAAAAATTTTGAAAGTTTGGAGACATGATCCTTACGTTTTTCTGACCATGCTTGCAAAAAATGGCCTGAAAAATGAAAAAAGAAAAAGGCTATAAAAAAGCCCCTGTCCCACGCAGTGGGACGCCCAACTGTCGGGATAGGTAAAAAATTTATGTTTTTATTTATGTTGTGCATTCTAAAATGAATACATGATTTTTAAGAATTAGTGCAAAAAGCGGCACCATTTTTTGATGTATATTTTATTTTTTATGATTTTCTCTATTTTTTGAATTTGAAAAATAAAATAAAATAATAACGACGTCAAAAAATTTTGAAATTTTATAGACATGATCCTTACATTTTTCTGAGCATGCCTACAAAAAATGACCTGAAAAATAAAAAGAAGAAAAACGCTGTCAAAAAGCCACAGTCGAGCGTAGTGGGGCACCCAACGGCCGAGATGGGTAAGAAATTCACATTTTTATTTATGTCATGCATTCTAAAATTAATATAAAATTTTTAGGAATTTTTGCAACAAGCGGCACAATGTTTTGATGAATATCTATTTATTATTATTATTTTCTCTCTTTTCCGCCTTTAAAAATAAAATAAAAATGACGTCTAAAAATTTTAAAATTTTACAGACATGATCCTTACATTTTTTTGAGTATGCCTGCAAAAAATGGAATAAAAAATGAAAATAAAACGCTGTCAAAAAGCCCCCAGCCCGCGAAGTGGGGCGCCCAAGGGCCGAGATGGGACAAAAATTCACATTTTTATTTATGTTTTGCATTCTAAAATTAGTACATGATTTTTAGGAATTAATACAAAATGTGGCACCATTTTTTTTATGTATATTCTATTTTTTATGATTTTCTCGATTTTTGCCTTTGAAAAATAAAATAAAAATAATATGGCGTCAAAATATTCTGAAATTTTGTAGACACGATCCTTACATTTTTCTGAGCATGCCTCGAGAAAACGGCCTCAAAAAATGAAAAAAGAAGACGTTGTCAAAAAGTCCCAGCCCGCTTAGTTGGGCACCCAGCGGCCGGGATGGGTTAAAAATTCACATTTTATTTATGTTTTACATTCTAAAATTAAGGGATGATTTTTAGGAATTAATGCGAAAAGCGGCACAATCTTTTGATGAATATTCTATTTTTTTTTTATGATTTTCTCTATTTTTCATCCTTTAAAAACAAAATAAAATAAAAATAACGTCAAAATATTCTGAAATTTTGTAGACACGATCATTACATTTTTCTGAGCATGCCTGAAAAGAGTGGCCTCAAAAAAAAAAAAAGAAAACGCTGTCAAAAAGCCCCCAACCCGCGCTGTGGGGCGCCCAGGGGCCGGGATTGGTCAAAAATTCATATTTTTATTCATGTTATGCAGTCTAAAATTAACACATGATTTTTAGGAATTAATACAAAAAGTGACTATTTTTTGATGTATATTCTATTTTTTTTTTATGATTTTCTCTATTTTTTGCCTTTGAAAAATAAAAGAAAATAAAAACGACGTCAAACAATTTTAAACTTTTGCAGACACGATCCTTACATTATTTTAAGCGTGCGTGCAAAAAATGACCCCAAAAAATGAAAAAATAAAAATGCTGTCAAAAAGCTCCCGACCCGCGCAGTTGGGCGCCCAAAGGACGAGATAGGTCAAAAATTCACATTTTTATTTATGTTTTGCATTCTAAAATTAATACATAATTTTTAAGAATTAATGCAACAACTGGCACACTGTTTTAATGAATATTGTATTTTTTTTTTATGATTTTCTCTATTTTTCACCTTTGAAAAATAAAATAAAATAAAATAAAAATGACGTCAAAAAAGTCTGAAATTTTGCAGACACGATCCTTACATTTTTCTGAGCATGCATGCAAAAAATGAAAGAAGAAAAACACTATGAAAAAGCCCCCGGCCCACGTGGTGGGGCGCCGAGGAGCCGGGCTAGGTCAAAAATTAATATTTTTATTTATGTTTTGCATTCTAAAATTAATACATGATTTTTAAGAATTAATACAAAAAGCGACACCATTTTTTAATGTATATTCTATTTTTTTTATTTTCTCTATTTTTCGCCTTTGAAAAATATAATAAAATAAAAAGGACGACAAAAACGTAAGTAGAAAGACAGCGCACGCGACAAGATCTGCTTCCAATTCAGCATGAGGTTTAGAGGTTAAAGTTCAGGGAGAATGACTATGTATCGCTGAGCCGATCTGCCATTTTGTACAGCCATTTTGTACAAAATTTCATGAAGTACTGAAATATAACGCCCCACAACCCAGAAGTAGAAAGTGAAAGGCTGTAGGAGCTCAGATGGCTGTATCATAATCTTCAACCACAACAATAAAAAGCAGCTGCATTTAATCCCTTTTTTAGCATTAAAAAATATGTTTCATACTGATTTTGATTATTGTTTAGTGGCATTTTTTCCATCAATAATAATCACAACTAATTCTTCTGATTACCATCACGGTAATAACGGCTTGTGGTAGTTACTAGAATTACCACAATAACCTAACGTGAAAATGACATGCAAAAGAAAATCACTTGAGTGCTATACCCAAAATGCTCTTTTTTTTTTTTTTTTTTTAAATGCTACCTAAAATTTTTCTACAGAATATGGTGCATTTTAACAAAATTTTGAAGTAAATAATGATAGCTACAGTGAGACAGAAGAAATGGCACACAAGCTTTGCCTTTGTATACTTTTATAATTGTAAAAAGATGGGTATTATTTAGAAGTAGGAAAAAAATAATAAAATAAAATAAGAATAAAAAAATAACTGGCAGAAGCAGGGAATTTAGTTGCGTTCAGCTAGAGCTAATTCTAAGGCATGCTCAGCTTCCTTAAAAAATAGACGGGTGAGTTGTTTTTGGCCTCGCCGGTACACTATACTTGACCACTTGTTTCTGCTAATTAAGTAGCCTTCTGCAGAGTCATCGGTGTCTCCGCTGAACCCAACAAAAGAATAAGAAAAGCTTATCACATTTAGCACAGAGTCATCTAGAATGATTTTAAGTTGATAGGGAGTAGCAAATTATTCAATGCAATAATTCAATAGACTTGGATTCGGTTTTTCATTGACAAAATCCAATCTAATAATAATATTAATATGTATTTTTTTACAGATATTATTAATATTAATATTAATGTGTGGGAAAATGTAATCTTCATATAGCTGTATTAGATAGTTGACTAGGAAAATCCCCTAATCTGAGGGATTTGAGATAGAGTAGATTCCTGATTTACAGCTAGGGATTGATTGTAACAGCTAGGGGTCAATTGTATATATATGTAACCTCCGATGTAGAATATGAATCAATTGAGAAGAGCAATTACTTTTTCTTCTAATTTTCCACATGGTACAAAGCTTTAGGCTCGTTTTCTGGGAAATTGATCTCTCTCGGCCTTCATTGTTGAGCTTGGTTTCGCCTTCAGGGCCTTTATTACTGTTCTTCTGTCTTTTTATTTTTTTCCCCCCCCTAGCCTTAAATCGCCATCTTCAGAGAGCCTTCATTGCTCAAATCATCAGGATCTTCATTGCCAGGAGGTTGCTGTTCATTTCCTAGCACCTTTGATATAGGGATTTTATCGCTGCTTGCGCCGTTGTTCACGCACCACCATCAGAAGGGCTCAGATTGTAGCCGCCACTTGCTAAAGCTCAGATCGTCATGATAAGCCTCCCGTGCGTTACACATATGTTAGAAGGAAGCGCAAGGACTGTTACGGCGAAAGAAAGGAGGGGGAGGCTGAGTCAGCAAGTAGTTAGTGGTTAGTTAGACTTTAGAATTGATGAGGGATTTAGGGATAGTGTGTATAAATAGGACAGAGGTAGAATAAAGGGGGATCATTCTGATTTTGTGAAACTTCCTCAAGAAGATAGTTTTAGGGAGAGCAAGGGATCTCTCGAATATCCCCATACCTTTTCTGTATTCAATTTCCGCCATTGTTGATAATCAAAGCTTACTGTTAGCAATTCTTTTTCTGAATTGTCATTTCCATCAGGCATTTGATCTGGAGTCTATCATTTGGTATCAGACCGCGAACTGGGAATGACGAGATGTTCCGACGAGCGCGAGAAGGAGAAGACAGAGGGAACTAGAGAAGAATTCCAGAAGGAATTGGAAGGGATTCGAGAGGATTTGAAGAAAATACCAAGACTTGAGCAAGGAATGGAGATGATGCTCGAGAGACTGGATGAATTGATGAGACAGAGGGAATCAACCAATCGGGAGCCGCTGTGGGCCGCAGAAGGAACGGCGGCAACTCTGCCGGCGCCGAGAGATGATTTGCACCGAGAAGGCAAAGTTTGTGCAGAATTCCGAACTCGACGGGTGGAAATGCTAGGATTTGATGGAGATAGTCCCGATGGTTGGATCTTCCGCGCCGAAAGGTTTTTTGCCATGAACCGGATGACGGAAAGGGAGAAATTGGATGTGGCGGTGGTTAGCCTTGAAGGTGAAGCTTTGGCATGGTTTCAATGGGAGGACGGTCGCAGTCTGATTCGGAGTTGGATGGTATTGAAATTGATGATTCTTGAACGATTCTGCCCTAAACAAGAGGGGAGTCTGTGTGAGAAGTTCTTGTCGCTCTGCCAAGAAACGACAGTGAGGGAGTACCGAAGACAGTTCGAAATATTGGCGGCACCATTGACGGAGCTTTCGGAGCAAGTATTGGAGAGTACTTTCGTCAAGGGATTGAAGCCAGAAATTAGGGCGAAAATCAGATTGATGAAACCCGAGGGATTAGGTCGGATTATGGAGGTAGCCTAGCGGGTGGAGGAACATAACCAGTCGGTTCGTGGGTCAAGGGTTTCAGGCCCACAAGGTTTATTCTGGAATAAGGGTAGTAATGTGAATTTGGCATTTTCTGGACACAAGGGAGGCCCAAGTTTTTCTAGAGGGGGAACAAGGAACGCCAGTGCACCGATGGAAAGGAGCCATGCTACGCCGGAGAAGAATACTGGTGCTGGAAGCGGCGCGGCGACCTTTAGACGTTTGACAGATGCAGAGTTGCAGTCAAAGAGGGAAAAAGGCTTATGCTACCGGTGTGACGGGAAGTATACTTTTGGGCACTGTTGTCCAAATTGGGAGTTGCAAGTGTTGATTGTCAGGGAAGAAGAAGAGGAAGACCATGAGAATCGCGCAAAGAGGGACGAGAATTCGGAGGAAGAAGAGTTGGTGGAGTTGTCGCTTAATTCGGTGGTGGGGCTCACAGCTCCGAAGACTATGAAGCTCAAGGGAATCGTTCGAGGGTGCGAGGTAATTGTCTTGATCGATAGTGGGGCTACCCACAACTTTATTTCATGCGATTTAGTAAGGAAATTGGGGCTGACCATAGATAAAACGAGTGGGTATGGGGTAGTAATGGGAACTGGAATTTCGGTGAAGGGAGAGGGAGTGTGTAGAGGGGTGATGGTTGCCCTACAAGAGGTCGAAGTGGTGGAAGATTTCTTGCCTTTAGAATTAGGAAGTTCGGATATAATATTGGGTATCCAGTGGTTGGAAACTTTGGGAGTGGTCACAGTGAATTGGAAGACGTTACTCATGAAATTCAATTTGGGGGATCGACATGTGACATTACGTGGGGATCCTGGGTTGAACAAATCATCGGTCACTCTAAAAGCCTTGACGCGAGCTCTTAAGCATGAGGACCAAGGGGTGTGGGTTGAGTTGGGAAATTTAATGGTAAATTCGTGTGACAAAGGGGAGGAAGTACAGCTCGGGTTGAAGTCTGTGTTGAGTAAGTATGCCACGGTGTTTGAATCCCCAGTGGGCTTACCTCCTGCAAGGGCGAAGGATCATGCCATAGTCTTAAAGGAAAGAACGTTATCGATAAATGTTCGGCCGTACCGTTATCCGCACATCCAGAAGACCGAGATTGAGCGGCTAGTGGGGGAAATGTTGGCAACTGGCATCATCCAAGCAAGTGTAAGTCCGTATTCCAGCCCTGTACTTTTGGTAAAGAAAAAAAGACGGCAGTTGGCGGTTTTGCGTAGATTACCGCGCTTTGAATAAGGAAACAGTACCCGACCGTTTTTCGATTCCCGTGATCGAAGAGCTCCTTGATGAACTTCGCGGTGCAACAATTTTTTCCAAGATTGACCTCAAGTTGGGGGTACCACCAGATTCGGGTGCGACCGGAGGATGTTCCAAAGACTACATTCCGTACTCATGAAGGTCATTATGAGTTCCTCGTTATACCCTTCGGCTTAAGAAATGCTCCGACAACTTTCCAATCCCTCATGAATGAGGTCTTATGGGCTTTTCTCCGCAAGTTCGTGCTCGTATTCTTCGATGATATACTCATTTACAGCCATTCGTGGGAAGAACACGAGCACCATCTCACACAAGTGTTGGAGTTGCAGCGTCACCATCTCTACGCCAATGCAAATAAGTGTAGCTTTGGTCAACGGTCAATAGAATACCTAGAACACATTGTGTCCGACCAAGGGGTTTTAGCGGATCCGGCCAAAATCTCGGCTATGTTGCAATGGCCACTACCTGCTAATTTGCGGGATCTACGAGGGTTCCTGGGATTGACTGGATATTACAGGAAATTTGTGGCTAGTTATAGCCAAATTGCAGGCCCTCTCACTAACCTGCTTCGGAAGGATTGTTTCTGATGGGACGCAGGGGCAGCACAAGCGTTTGACAAACTTAAGCAGGCTATGACGCAGGTGCCGGTTTTAGCATTGCCGGACTTTAACAAGTCTTTTGTGCTCGAGTCGGATGCTTCCGGTTTCAGAGTGGGGGCGGTTTTGATGCAAAATCAAGAGGCCCATAGCGTTTTTCAGCCAGGTCTTATCCGCCAAAGCTCGAAGTAAATCAGTATACGAGCGAGAGTTAATGGCTATTGTGTTAGCGGTGTCCAAAAGTGGCGACCATACCTTCTGGGGCGCCACTTTGTCATCCGGACTGACCAGCGGAGCCTAAAATACTTACTAGAGCAGCAACTAGTGAATGTTGAACATCAAAAATGGTTGACTAAATTGCCGGGATACGATTTTGGGATTCAATACCGTCCGGGGGTCGAGAATCGGGCGGCTGATGCTTTGTCTCGACGCCAGGCCGACTCCACTTTAAGTGTTTTGGCAGCAACTTCCGTGATCCGGACTGAGACTATACATCAACAAGTGTTATAGGATGAACGATTGGCGAAAATTTGGTCGGATTTACAACATCACACCGCAGCACACACCAGGTACTCAATTAGGCAAGGGCGGTTGTTCTTTCGGGGCCGGATGGTTGTGGCTTCGAAGTCCCCAATGGTGCAGCAGTTGTTACGCTCTTATCATAATGGTGTGCTAGGAGGGCATTCCGGGGAATTGAAGACAGTTAGCTGCGGACTGGTATTGGACAGGCATGAAGAAGGATGTGAGTTCATATGTGGCAACATGTGAGGTGTGTCAACGATGTAAGGCTTCTACTTTGGCTCCTAGCGGACTCCTACAACCCTTGCCTGTGCCCGAGCAAGTGTGGGGAGACGTGTATGGATTTCATTGAGGGACTGCCTCGCTCGGAAGGATTTGACACTATTCTGGTGGTCGTTGATCGACTCAGCAAATATGCCCATTTTGTTGCCCTCAAGCATCCGTTTTCGGCTGAGAAAGTGGCTCACCGGTTCATCCAAGAGGTGGTTCGTCTTCATGGCGTACCTCGCACAATTGTGTCGGACTGGGACCGTATTTTCCTCAGTCACTTTTGGACAGAGTTACATAAACGGATGGGCACCGTACTCTCCCGCAGCACCGCATATCACCCCCAGTCCGATGGGCAGACCTAAGTTGTTAACAGATGCGTTGAAACGTACTTACGTTGTTTTACTTCCGACAAGCCGGGGATGTGGCATAAGTGGTTGGCATGGGCAGAGTATTGGTATAACACTTCCTTCCACACTTCCACTCGGATGACCCCATTTCAAGTCGTATAAGGACGAGCTCCTCCTCCGT